AGATATTATTATTTCACTAATGGAGGTTCAATGCAGAGCACACCTACCATGATGCATAATATCCTTATTTGCCTAATAATCTCAGTTTTGTTACCTATAATATTAAAATAGGTGGAGAAATGTTAGCAGGTATTTTAATATTATATTATGATATTGGTTTCCATCAGGTCTTCCTAGTCTTCCAAGACTTTTCCATCCAAGTCTTGGTCTTGTCCTTCCATTCTTTCCATCCAAGACTTCCAAGCTAAGGCTTTGCCAAAGTCTTCCAAAAATCCACCAAGTCTTTATCCTTCCAAGACTTCCAAGTCTAAGTCTTCCAAGTCAAGTCCATGTCTTCCAAGTTTTTCAAGTCGTCTTCACCAAGTCTTGGTCTTATCTCTAGTAACTTATCCACCAAGATTTTTTTTTTTTGATTTCTATATATATTAACTTATGTCCTATCTTTAGAGACACATACGAGAGAAGAAGTTTTGATTGTGTTGTTATGTCTTGAGTGAGATTATCAGGCAAATAAAAATGGTGTGTGTGATAAAGTTTTGGGTTCAACCAATTGTGCAGTATTGGTTAACCATACGACTTAGTCAGGCTGTTGTATCCTGGGAGGACAAGCCAAGGTTTTTTCTGCTGCACCGGTGTGAGGCTTTGCCTAACCGCAGAGGGCTTGAATCTCCTTAAAGAGAGCGAATTTTCCGCGCCTCAGCCCTTATATTAATTGTTGTAACTTTTATTTTGTGTATTATCTAGTGTTTTATTTATAAGTATCACCAACAAGTTGTTTCATGATTGTTTTTACTTTTGCAAATTACACTCTCTTTCTTTTCAATAAAGCTGAGTGCAAATTTTGTATTAAAAACTTAGTTTGATACAAAACATTTCAACTCTTACTTGCAACCAAATCTTTTAAAAAAATTTCAAACGTATCTTAAGAATTTATTTTAATTAATTTTTATGAAATGAAGCCATCTACAATTTTTATTTTTTGAAAATTTGAGTAATAATCACTCTGTTTGGTATTAAATTTTCAAAAACAATTTGAGTTTTTGTTTTGTTTTGTGATTTGTTATTTTTTGTAAACTTTTCTATTATTTTAATAAGTCTTTTTTAATTTTTTTTAGATGTACCTAATTCTAAATTTATTTGAAAAATAAAATATTCATGAAAAAATCTTTAAAAAACAAAAATCAATAAATACAACATTAAAAAATGAAAATGTAGTTAATTGTTTTTTTGTATTTTTTGTTTCTATTAAATTTTTAAAAAATAAAATTCATAAATTTTATACTTTTTACTGATTAAGTGGATCTAAAGAGTAAAAAAAATTGATTAAAATATAATAAAAAAATTCATTAAAAAAAAATACGAATTGAAAACTCTGTTTTTAAATAAAATGAAAAATCTAGTGAAGTCAAAATTTTAAAAAAATAATTACAAATAAGTGATAAATTTTATAAATATTAATAATTAAAATCATAAATTTTTGTAGAATTTATAGTAATTTTTTTAAACCATCATTGAATGGTAATTTTTTCTTTAAAAAATGTAAAACCAAAGTGTCGAAAAATTGGTGAATAGTCACTTTTGATTGAGCTTTTGTTTGTTTTTTTGTTTTTTTTTTTGTGCGAATATTCCAAAAAATTAATTTATTTGTGTAAATAACTAACTTTTTAAACTACTTATCAAACTAACTCACTTTTTAAAATCACATTTTAAACATGCGATTTCATATTGACGTGACCCACATCTATATACTAATAAGGGTTTGTTTGGGATGTGGGTTGGCTTTTTGGTTATTTTAGCTTGGACTAAAAAAATTCGTTTGGAATGGACTTTTTAGCTTTTTTTATTTTTGTGAGAGAAAAAATGAAATAATTATTGTTTGGATGTGACATTTTGTCTTATTAGCTTTTTAGCTTATTTTGTTATTTTGTGGTTGTTTAGGCCCAAGATTGGAATGCCAAACGAAGGCTAAGTCAAGTTAATATGAAATCACATATGATACGATTTCACCATGAAATTGCATTTTGAACATATGATTTCATGATAAAGTTACATTTTGAACTTGCATTTTTTTAAAAAGTAATCTTGTTTGATAAATAGTTTTAAAAGTGAGTTATTTTGATAAATAATTTATTTCTTAGAATATTTGATATAAATTTAATGAAATAATTGAAACTTGTTTAGTTATTTTTTATTTATTAAATTTGAATTTAATTAAAAAATTAATAAAAAATTGATAAACTACTGAAACCTACAAGAACCACAACTTAAAAAATTTAAAAATTTATTTCTTAGAACATTGCTCCTTTTCTTGTGCTTTGGTGCCAACCCTCTCCTTCGCAAGCTCTAAGGGTTGTTTTGGGAACCATGACCAAGATGATATGTTCAATGGAGTTTTTCAGGTTTTCATTTTGTTCAACATAATTTCTCTTCACTGTTGAAGTCTTCACTATGAACCGAAATAGGAAAGACACTGCTCTTCAACTTTGAATAGGTGTGTGGAAAAAGTGTTAGTGTGTGGAAAGAGGGTTGAAGTGGTGTGTATAATATATGAGCTAAGGGTATAATTAGTGTGTGGAATTAGAACAAAAAATAATGATCAAACTACTAAGTGTGTGCACTGAGAAAAGATGTGCACTAAGATAATTATGTGTGTGGAAATAGAATTTCCCTTAACTAATCCTAACCTTACATGTTTGACATACATACTAATAAAATATGATCGAGATGAGCTAGAACTATGGATGTCGATCTCTGAAGTCGGATTTCATACTCAGTAGACTGATTTGATTCCCTTCGCTCAACTAAAGCATCATTCAAGAGTGAGAGACTATTGATGTCTACACAATTAATTTAGGCCCAAATTTTGCACATTAACTCAATTGACTTACGGTTTAGTAGATGTAAACTCCTTTATCACTAAGGATTGTAACAAAGACCCGCTGGACGAGGCTAAATAAGAAAAGGTACAAAATTAGGATAATTTTTTTTTTACATATCAATTTCCTCAATTCACACACCTAATATAAAAATTTCTTAATACAATTTTGTCTTCTGGCATTCCCTCATGTTGCCTTTTTCCCCCTATGCCTCTGGACCACCTTCTGCCATGAACCGTACACTCCCACAAACCTCTCGCCATGAACCACCCACTTTCGAGGTTGATTATGGAGGTCTATGATGGAAGGGAGTTGGGAGTGGCAGTGGTAGTGGCGATCGAGGGCTGAGAGTGACAGCAATGGCGGTAGGGATGTAATCGGTTTTGGTACGATCGGTATTTAGGTAAAAAATTATACCAAACCGATAATATCGGTTTTATTATTTTGAACACCAATACAGACCACTCCTCCTATTAAACCGCACTGAACCAAAACCGATTGAAATGGTTCGGTTTGGTGCTATTTAATCGGTTTAGAACTTTTCAAACTTGAGCCACTTTTAAATATAATCATTAATCTATATAAAAGCATTAAATTAGTTATTTGTCTACTATTTCAAACATATTCAATCCATCAATTTAATACATACTTTTCAATTCCTAAATTAACAAAAATAAAAACAAAAAAAAATCAAAAATACTAAGATTTCAAGAATAATGAGTTAGTGTCAAGATTATATATAATAAGAGTTTACAAACTTAGATTATAAAGATGATAAGGTTAATTAATTAAGGTTAATAATTTCTTATACTTATTAATATCATTATATTATTAGATATTATATATATATATATATATATTATAAATACAATATATGTTAAAGCGGTCGGTTTCGATTTAGATCGGTGCACAAGGTATTTAAACCGACACCGAATCAAAAATCGAAAAAAATCAAATTAAAAAACTGCACAGATCGATTCTTGTTTAAAAAAGACTAAGCCTCCGTTTGGGAAGTGGGTTGGCTTTTTGGCTTTTTGGCTTTTTTGGCTATTTTAGCCTGGGCTAAAAAGCTTGGTTTGGGAAGGGCTTTTTGGCTTTTTTGACTTTTTTTGTGAGAGAAGAGTGTAATGATTATGGGTTGGATGTGATGTTTTGTTTGTTATGGCTAAAATAGCCTATTTTGTTTTTTGTGGCTAAAATAGCCAAAAAAGCCCAACCAACTTCTTCCCAAACGGTCTCTAAATATAACCGATTTGATCCGATTTAATCGATTTGGTCGATTTTTTCAATTTTTCTTACCACCCAGGACAGTGCATTGAGGGGCTCCAAACCAAAGAGCTATTGAAATCTTCAACCCAAAACTTGTCCAATTTTTTGTTCATGGTTGTGTTAGTAGTTACTTCTTTTTTTTGGAATTTTGATTTGGATTTGTTAAAATACACTATTAATTTGATTGAATTTTTAAAAAATTTATTTTTTAGGAAAAATTAAAAAAATAATAAACACTTATTATTTTTATATAATTTTATCTTTTTTAGAAACAAATAATTTGAAAATATTATTTTTGTATTTATTTTTTTATCAAATTAATTTTTAATTTTTAAAACCCAACCAAATATAAATATTAGCAACTCGGGAGTTTTAATTTACGACACCAATATTTTCTAGGGCTCTCAGACAAATGGGGTTACTTTTGTCCATGTCAGAAACAAACTTTTTTTTTTTTTTAATAATATCAAATTTATTTCTACTTTTGTTTTAGCTTCTCCATACAAGTAGAAATTGTTGAAATTATTTTTTTTTTAAAAAAAAACCTCATAAAAAATACAGAGATGTTATTGCCTCATATGCTGTATTTGATGAAAGGATTTGAAAAGAAATTTAGAAAAAAAAAGAAAAAATATATATGAAATTAACTAAAATATAAATATATTTTACTCACATTTTATCTACCTTTTCACTTTCTTTTTCTAAATCTCCAATCAATTTCTAAATCTCCAATCAAATAGAGCATAAAAATTTCGATTATTTAAAGCCTTATCTTGCGGAGCAAAGGTCCAAACGTGCATACTGTAAGGGCATCTTTTGCCACGTTCCGTGTACGATTTTATCAATTATTACATCTTATCTTATTCTCTCTTTCCTCATTGCCATTTGTTGTATTTCTCTATAATCAGGGTCCCAAAAATCTCCACCCACTCACTCACTCACTCACTCACTCACTCTCTCTCTCTCTCTCTCTCTACATATATAAAACATCTTCGTTGCAGAAAGTATGTTGAGGTTGAAGATTGGATTAAGGTTTGTCTTTTTGTCTTTTTATTTTCTTGTTGATTATATACTAAGCCTCCGTTTGGGAAGTGGGTTGGCTTTTTGGTTTTTTGACTTTTTTGGCTATTTTAACCTGGGCTTGAAAGCTTGGTTTTGGGAAGCGCTTTTTGACTTTTTGGCTTTTTTGAGTTTTTTTATGAGAGAAGAATGTAATGATTATGGGTTGGATGTGATGTTTTGTTTGTTATGACTAAAATAGCCTATTTTATTTTTTGTGACTAAAATAACCAAAAAAACCTGCAAACCCACTTGCCAAACACAGGCTAAGAAGTAGATCATCCTTGAAAAGACGAGGTTGCTTCTGAGTGGTGTAATATGACCACTTCAATCCCCTTGCCCAAGTATAACTTCTAGTTGTGTGTTAATTACAGCTACCCATAATGTGAAAATTATGTTGTCCCAGATCATAACCTTAGATTTGATCAAATTATAGTCAATCAAATCAGGATATATATGCAATAGATTCCATTCATTTTGCTGATTTGATTTGCTATGATTGGTTAGAACCACAACTTTTCATTTTTTGACTTTTTAATTTTTTTAGTGATTTTTTTGAAAAAACTTAATAAAAAGTAAAAAAATTAATTTTTTACCAAGTTCCTAAATTGCTCATAAGACTGTTGTAAAACAGAAAGCAATTGTTATGTGGGCATATTTTAAGTGAATTTTGATCATTAATAAGGTAAAATTTCAAAGACTTTGGTCCTAGTGACTATGAGAGGGACACACTTGTCAATACCCAAAAATGCCCCAAATTAAAGGTCTTAGGGAGATGCTTTATTTGATTCTGACTAGTCCTAACATATTTGCTTCATTTGACTTGTTATGTTATTTATCTACCTATCTAATTTAAATCAGCAGAAGAAGCATCTCCATATCAAGAGCTTTTCTCAACAGGCAATTCTCTACCCAGAATCAGAGAGCCAGGTTTGCCCTGAAACCTCTCTCTCTCTCTCTCTCTCTACCCATAAATAAATTGTCTACTAGTCTTTGTAGGGTACTACTACATTTTTACTGCCAAACTACTCCAAATAATTAACTGGCTTTTGGTAGCATTTACGTTTTTAGTTTTTTATTTATATTTATAAAAATTTAAAAAACTCAAATAAAAACTTGTTTGGTAAAATTTTTGATTTATAAATCAGTGGTCTCAGTTTATAAATTTGCGTCAAAAAATGAAAACACAAAAAATGTTGTTTCCATTTTGAGTTTTCAGTTTTTTTTTTTTTATCACCCAACACTAGCCACCACCCGCCACCATTTTCACCACCGTCTTCCGCCACCACCACCCACCTGCCACCACCACTCATCACCCACCTGCACCACCATCCACAGCCACCACCACCCACCTGCCACCACTGCCACCACTACCCACCCCTCGCCGCCACCACCGCCCCACCACCACCCACCACCCACCTGCCATCCACCCGTCACCACCTCCACCCGCCACTACCATCCACCGCCCGCACTTACCACCCGCTACCTACTTGCCACCACCACTCACCACCCACCTGCCACCACCAGCCACCTGCCATCCACCCGCCACCACCACCCACTACCCACCCGCCACTCACCTGCCACCACCACCCACCACCCACCACCACCACCACCACCACCACACCACCTTACTTACTACCACCTACCACCCGCTACCGTCACCCACTCACCTGCCACCACCATCACCCACCACCCACCACACCTGCTTACCACCTGCCACCACCCACCCACCACACACTCGCTACCACCACCATCTTCCGCCACCACCACCCACCTGCCATCACCACTCACTACCCACCTGCCACCACCCTCCACCACCTGCCACTACCAGCCACCTGGCACCCACCCCCCCCCCCCCACCACTCGCCACCCCCCCCCCCCTGCCAGCCACCATCACCCACCACCCACCTGCCACCCACTCACCACCACTACCCACTTGCCACCACTTTCCACCACCGTCTTCCACCGCCACTTGCCACCCCTTGCCATTTCTCACTCTTTTTTATATTTTTAAATTTTTTTAAACATTTTATGAATTACCAAACGCGTTTATAGTTTATATTTTTCTAAAAACAAACAAAAACCAGTTTATAAAATTTTTGTAAATATAAACTGAAAACGTAAACGTTACCAAACACACTATGTCATTTGGCATCTTCCACTGTCCTTGTCGCTAGTTGTCATTATCTAATTTTTTCAGAACATCATGCTGGTAGACTATTTGTTTACGTGATTAAAAATAAAAATAATCACAGTTGATTAATGTTGTGATGGTCTATCTACAACGATTACAATACCTATATACTTTATTCATTATTTTTCTCACAAAGAAATTGTTTTATTTATTTATTTATTTATTTATTTTTAGTTGAAAGAATCTCAAAAAATCAGTCTTTGAGACATGATTGTAGGATTGAGAGTACATTAAGAATTTGTTGACAGACGATCCTATGTCGCACAACCTAGTATCCAAAGACTTGTTGATTGATGTGTACAAAAATGCTGATTTAGATCAAAATTGTCTCACAGCAAACTAGAAGGTAAGGTAGCGCTGATCACTGGAGCAGCAAGCGGCATTGGAAAAGAAACTGCCACCAAGTTTGTTAACAACGGTGCCAAAGTTGTGATTGCTGACATCCAACCCCAGCTTGGCCAAGACACTGCCACACAACTCGGACCAAACGCCTCCTTCATCGCCTGCGATGTCAGCAAAGAATCCGGCATCTCCAAAGCAGTGGATTACACTGTCTCGACACACGGCCAACTTGACATCATGTACAACAATGTCGGGATAGCATGCCATACTCCCCTGAGCATAGTTGATCTCGACCTTGCCCAGTTTGACCGAGTCATGGCAATCAACGTTCGTGGCATTGTCACAGGGATGAAGCACGCATCGCGAGTGATGATCCCTCGTAAAACAGGTTCAATTCTCTGCACTGCAAGTATTACAGGAATAATGGGTGGCCTATCACAGCACACTTACTCGATTTCCAAGTTCACTGTAGTAGGCATTGTCAAGTCTGTTGCATCGGAGTTGTGCAGGCATGGCATTCGGGTCAATTGTATATCGCCTTTTGCTATTCCGACATCCTTTGTAATGGATGAACTGAGGGAGTTCTTTGCAGGGGTCGATGATCAGCGGCTCATTGATATGATACATAATTCCGGTGAATTACAGGGAACATATTGTGAACTTGGTGACATAGCCAATGCTGCGGTTTACCTGGCGTCCGATGATGCCAAGTATGTCAGTGGCCATAATCTGGTGGTGGATGGGGGTTTTACATCAATGAAGAGATTGGGGCTTCCTGCACCAGATCAGGTGCATTGAAAGTGTAAAATATTGCTTCTGAGAATATTTTAGAATTTGGCAGATAATTAATTGTATAAGCTTGAACTCACATTTTTCGTATGCTAAAAAGTCATTTGTCTAAAGACAGAATTAGTATGCCAGAATTTTAGAAGATGAAAATGATTTTTAATTGAAATGTGATGATGAGCAGCTACAATTCAACTATGAAAATCGCATAAGCAAACACAGCGTATCAGGTGATAATATTCAAAAACTCTATTTTCATAGTATATTCATGAACCTCGCTAGAATTTCAATAGACACTGTACAATGTACATGCATTTGGTTAGAATAATGTATAGAGAATAAATTGTGTATTATTCATGTATTGAATGAGTATATTACAATGTTCAGATAACTCTCCTTTATAGAGGAGAGAGTGTTACAAAGGGGCCAAAGGTCGCCGAAAGAAGAAACAGGAAAGCATGCACTAAGGAGACAACATTATTAAAACTAGTTGGTATTTTACAGCTAATATATACACTAACAACCCCCCTCAAACTTAAGGAGGATAGGTGCCAACCAATATGAGCTTGGAGAAAGTAACAAAACGTGAAAATAAACTAAAACATAAAAATAAAATAGGAGACACTGTATGGTTGTGCTAGATTGTTGTAGAAGACACTGTGAGGTTGTGGTAGACCGTTGTAGAAGATACTGTATGGTCGTGTTGAACTGCTGTAGAAGACACTATGTGGCCGTGTCAGACTGTTGTAGAAGACATCGTATAGTCATGTCGAACCACTGTAAAAAACACTGTGTGGTCGTATCAGATCGTTATAAAAGATACTGTGTGGTCGTGTCGGACCGTTGTAGCAGACACTGTGTGATCATGACCGTTGTAGAAGACAATGTGTGGTCTTGTCGAACCGCTGTAGAGGACACTGTGTGGTCGTGTCGGACCGCTGAAGAAGATACTGTGTGGTCATGTCAGACCATTGTAGAAGACACTGTGTGGTCATGTCGGATCATTGGAGAAGACATTGTGTGGTCGTGTCGGACCGTTGTAGAAAACATTGTGTGGTCATGTCGAACAGTTTGTAGAAGACACTGTATGGGCGTGTCGGACCATTGTAGAAGACACTGTGTGGGCGTGTCGGACCGTTGGAGAAGACACTGTGTGGTCGAGTCGAACCATTGTAGAAGACACTATGTGGTCGTGTCGAACCGTTGTAGAAGACCCTCTATAGTTGTGTCGGACTGTTGGAGAAGACTTTGGTGATGCACCAAGGGGGCGACTTAGGGAGGGCGCCATGGGGTGGCTTGGGTGGTTCGCATGGTGTATAACCATGCTTACCATGATATATGTATAATATAGTTAATAGTTGCGCAACTATTGTGATTCAAGTGGCAGCTGGTTTAGTGCTACTTCACATTTCGCTTATGGCGACAGTACATTATTGTCGCTAACTGATCTCCATGATTCCTCCAAGGGATTACTCGTCAACGACACTTTAATTGTCCAGTGCAAAGTTATTGTTGTCTCTGAAGTGAAAAACGTTGCTCAATAGTTCTTGACCCTTGATTATATATATTTTTTAATTGTTGAACTCTGATCAGTAGTCAGTTTCAAGATGATCCAATGATATGTGTGCATTAAGTTTCAACAATTTAATCAGCTAGCTTTTGTTATTGTTTTAGTCAGCTGAAGCTGTTCTGGTTATATCCATTGTTATAGTTGAAATTCTAAGAAACTAGATGTTTGATCCTAGAATTTACACTGAATTTTGATTATTAGTCCGAATTCAATTCTTGAATGGGGCATCCTATTTGTAAAATAAATCTCCCCCACACTTTTATTTGTTCTCAAGTTACTGGTAAAACGTTATGTGTTTGTATTGTCTTCTCAAGTTATTGGTAAATTTCTAGATTAATATTTTGATTTGTAGTGTTACTGTAAATAAAATTATAGAGAAAATTAGTGAAACATCCATCTCCAA